CCCACAGAAATGTTGGCAGGCAGAGGAGTGTCCCATAGGTCCCATATTGGAAGTACAGTTCATCTCTAGCAGAGCTGGTAACTTCAGAAGCAATTTCTGATGTCAGAGAAATGACATTAAATTGTAGCTGGAAAGTCCCCAACTTCTGTCCTGGCTGGCAATGTCAAAAATCTCTGCTTCTAAGAAATGAGGTCTTTTGTTTCACATTTCAAGAGCAGCTGGCTGAAATTGTTAAAGAAATTTTAGATAAAAAGGTATTTAAGCTAATGCTAACAAACAAGAAGTTGGCCTCTGGGCAAACATCTCCCAGCTTTGTTGTGCTTGTCAGAAAAGTTGGGGCTTTCATCTGTCACTGTTCTCATTACATCTGCTCCCTTGCTCATGGCTGGCCTCACAGGGTCTGCTGGTTCTCAACACGATTTATCAGCTGGCAAAGGGTGACCATCTCTTAGAGGGCACCAGAAGAAGGGATTAGTAGGGTTGGTGACTGCTGGTGGTAGAGTGTTGCTGAGCTGCAGGGAGCACTAACCTCTGCCACTGGCACAGCTGGTGGGAAGGGCTGTGTGTGTCCTTGGCTTCACTAGATCAACCTCATGTCCTATTTCTTTGGTACGGTGTGTGAGGTGAGGGAAAACTCACCAAGTATCAGGAAATATGAGGTGACAAATCACATTGTTAGTTGGTGGATGATGTGCTTTGAGGAGTAATAAGTTTAAGGCCAGACAGTGCGGTAACTTTTGACTTGACTCCGGTGAACGTGTGTGCTGAGCATAAAGTACACATGGTGTGTATTCAATTCACTGGATTTAGCTGGTGTTCTCTGTTAGTGGTCATTACTGAGGTCAAAAAAGGGGGGCACCTGCTATCCCTGAAATTGTCAGATACTGATTTTTTTCATTGTTACACGTATTCATTGCCCATAACTTCATGTTGTTGTTCTCCTTTTTGGCAAAATGAAATAAAGTGTGATGGAGCTGTGTGACTGCAGATGTAGATGTGAATTTTGCCTGTTACAGTTAATCTGGGTTTGTAAATTTGTAAGGAAACTGAATAAATTTGAAAAGCCGTCTTGAGATATATCTGAGTTTTGTCTGTATTTTAAAAGGTATTTCTTAATGTGAGTGTGAATTCTCAGGTATAAGTAGTGATCTCACATTTCGTTTTTTCCATTTATCTGTACAGGTTCAAAAACATGTGAATGACCTGTATGAAGACCTGAGAGATGGACATAATTTGATCTCACTTTTAGAAGTCCTTTCTGGAGACACCTTGGTAAGCCTTCAAATCAGAATGCAGTGGTTCCAGTTTGTTATGTCTGTTTACTCTTTGCATATCAGCTGCTGGATGTTTCTTTGATATTTTCTGTAACCTGTGACCTGATACCGAAGAGACAAGTTGTGTTTCTGTTGGTAAATAGTGTACTGTGAATTCTGTGGGGGAATGCAGTCTGTTCTTTCAATTTCTTGTGGTCAGTGAGACTTCCTTTCTTAGTAGGGTAATGCGCTATTTTTTTCTGTTCTTCCCTCTTCTTTACAATTTTTCTTTTAACAAGTGTTGGATGCTTAATATCCCTTCGCATTAAAGGGAGTAACTTACAAATAACAAGGATAAAATGTCCCTGAAATTGTCTAACACACTCCTCAGGTGTCATTTCCTTTCTTTGTGAGCATTACTTCCCTTGCTTGGTATTTGTTCTCTTCATTATGTTCTTCTTTTCATGCTCTTCTTTTCATTTGTGGTCTGTCTTGTGTTTTTGCTGTCCTGTCTCCTGTCTGTTATATTCATTAGCCAAGAGAGCGAGATTTTTTGAAGACCTTACGGTTGGTGAGTTCAACAGAAGCATGCGCAAATGAACAGCATGAGGATGTGGAGGATGAGGATAAGGGGGTAGGTGCCGACCCCCGTAACTGTACTAATGTAGTGTTTGAAGTGTGGTGTCTGCTAATGTGAATTCTTAGTTCGGTGTGCTGCAGTAGTGTGCTGTAGAAAGGACAAAAGAACTCATGTTGGTAAACCAGGATATGTAAGTTTATGATGGAGGTATGGTAAAGACAAATTCAGCCTTTTTGCCAACGGCTAAAATGCAACTGTTGAAGATTTCTTTTAATTTTCTTCTGTTAAACTGTACAAAACTGTGCCACAAGTGTGTACTGGACAACATTTTCTAGAAGTAAATAATTGATTTTAATAATCAACAGGGAAATACCATAATTCCATTAGAGCAAGGTTGTGTTTCTTTGCTTGCAAACAGCATTGCCCATATACAGGTAATTTGCACCAAGGCTTGAAAGCTCTCCTTAGTCAAGTCAATGGCAAAAAACTGTTTTGTCTTAATTAGAAGCACCAGTCTACTACACCCATGGTGTATTGCACGTGATACTGGATAATATTTTGTAATTAAGTAAATCAGAGGTACAGATCTGCTTGTTAAAATTGATCAAATTAAATAGTTATGTTTATGAAAGCAGATAATAAAAGTAGAAGTGCAGTGGCAGCTCTGTGTAGTGGCTACTACGTCTACAGATCACTTGCAGGGTTTATCTTCCTCACAACAAACGCTGAATTACTGTTTCACTGTATTTACACCATCCAGAAGGGAAATATCTACTCATCAAGGGTAAAACGCTGAGTGCTTGTTAGTCCAAGTGAGCTGTTTCATGCCTTTGTAGACCTTGCATTAATAGTGTTTGCTAAAGCAACTTGCTGTCGTAGGGTCCGAGTGCCTTCTTGGCTCCCTGTGTGTTGTGCCGCGGTTGTGATTTCAGTGGAATTTGTGTGCTTTTTTTTCTGGGGCATAACATAACTCAAAATGCTTCATTTTAGCTGTACATTTTTTTAAAAAAATATTTCCCCTCTGAGATGCTTTACCTGACTATGTCATTTGGGATTTATTATACTCTTTTTACTGTGGAAAACCAAGTTCCAGGTCTGCAGTTCTTCGTTCCATCCGGGGGAGCTACTCGGTAGCAAGGGCTGCAGGTTTTGATCCTGGGCTATTGACATGAAAAACAAGGGGCTAAATTGAAGGTTCTATAACAGGAATTAAAATTCTTTGTGTTTTAGTTTATGCTGCTTATTCAGCTCCATTTTCCCATGTTTCCTTTTGGCAAGCATCTGATACTCCACAGGGGGGGAAAAAAGGCAGTTGAGAAAGGCTTGGGCCTGTATCTGTGTTTCGCAGTGACTGTCTGAGGAAATACTCATTTTCATGGCTGATCCTGAGCCATTATAGTCTGCTTCAGTTTATTGCTGTGAAGGTTTGTGAAAAATCTGAAATAAGGAAGAAGAATAAAAGGATTTGGATATGATGATGATGATGATCTAAATTTAACTGCTTTCCCATTGCTGAGCTTTGACAGCTAAGTAAAGTGTGATTTTTGTGTGATTCTTCTTCTTGGTGATTTTACACTAACTGCATGCAGTTTTGCCATGTTTCCATTAACACACCACTCATGCTTATTTTACAGTTTCTTCTTGCTACTTTTGACTTTGCTTTGAGAAGGGTGACTTGTTAGCTGTTTTCATGATTGATAATGTTCTACCCAAGTCAAGAGCTTAAACTTACTCTAGGGCTGTATGTTTTGCATTATTATGTTTGGAAGAAGGTATTGTCTTTATTACATGCTTTAAATTATTACGTATTGATATTGTAATGATTATGTGGTCGTGCTCTAAATAAATAACATTAAATCATAAAGTTGCATACAGAGTTAAACTTTTCCATCACAAAGTCTACTAGAGCTACATAATACATGTCATTACTTACATTTTGCTTTGCATAATATACTGTAAATCTTTTATAATAATATAATGCAGTTGGGTTTCTGTAGGTAGATTCATGCAGGGCCTTTTCTAGCTCTCTTGGCCTTAGTTCCCGTTACAGAGAAACAGCTTTCAGCCTGCATGGATCAAAGCTGCAGTTTGGGACCACTGATCTCTCTTGCCATTTGCTGTGCTAAAAGATTTCAACCACAGTTTTTTAAAAAATGTAATTGTTAAAGCACACTTTTCCAGTAAAGGTTTGGGCTTCATTAAAACTGTAATGCTTCTGATGTTTTACGTGATATCTTTTAAAGCAGATCATTTGTTCTTTTGTCTGACAAGAAAATCTCACAACTATTGTTTTCCAATTTTAGCCCCGAGAAAAAGGTCGGATGCGTTTTCACAGACTTCAGAACGTCCAAATTGCACTTGACTATTTGAAAAACCGCCAGGTATGGTGAAAATTTTAATGAAAAATATTAATGACAATTTTGTCACCTGTAGCTAATAAAGAAAGACTGTGTCCTGCTTGGTCTCTTACGTATGCTGTGTAACAGCTGCTCCTGTAGGCTCAGCTTCATCTTGTGCTTGAGATGGTTAATAGAGATGTGGCAGAGGTAACTTTGTACCACCCTTCTGTGGTATATGGTGTTAAAGAGGAGCAAATTATGGGTGAGATCTTCGGGAGTTGCTTACAGTACATTTTTCATGCTTCCCAGACACTAGCTGGTATGCAGGTTTGTTCACAATCTAATTTTTAGTGCAAAATGCAGATTCAAAGAAATAGGAATATTGTGAGGGAGTTCCTTGTTGTGGTTATATTTGTTTTGAGAGAACTTTTGCAAGCCTTAAACCTGATCACAGCAGAGCTGGTGCCCTCCTAGAGAGGCAGCGGAGTCACCTGGAGTCACCTGTGGAAGATACAGGTGAAGTGAAGGCTGAGTCTCCTTTAAACCAAGCACTTGAAACTCAGACTGCTGGGTGGTTTTCTGCTGCTGTGAGCTTCTGTGTGCTTTTAATTTTTTTTTTTAAATACTTTCAGGATTCTTGCTTTCTCCCTTTGCAAAAAAACCCCAATATTCTAAAAATGTCCAAAATGAGCATGGAAGGAAAAGCTGTTCCTCTCAATCCATCCCATCCAAATGAATTGATGCTGGAAACCTGTTTTCTGATTGGATGATTGTAGATCTTTTTCCAAAAAAATTATTTATTACTTGAAAGGTTTGAAGAAATATGAGGTAGCAAACCACAGAGTGATACTTAATTTGCTTGTAAAAACAGATGTATTCATATTTTGAGTGAAATTGCAGACTGTCTTTCGGGTCACCGAGTGATCTGTACAGCGAGAACTCAATCCTCTTTCACCGAGTTCAAAGCAAACAATTCTTTTTAATCAAAGTGAGGCATTGAACAAATATACTGTGAAGTAAATGAATGGCTACTTGAAATGACAGTCACAACATTTTTATGCAGCAAGACCTCTGGGCTTGTGCTGCACCATGCCTTATTTATTCATGACAGACCATGTGTATTAAACATGGGAGATTTAGGGTTGTGTCATCCTCAGGTTTCTGAACATGCCCATGTCATTGGGAGCCACAATTCTCCATCACATAGCTGTTGATTGTGATCTGAGGATTTTTGTGCTCTCTTTAGCCTCAGTTTTGTGAAGATAGCTGTACTCTACTCTACAACATGCTTATAAGGGCTTTGGTCTTCTTGGAAAGCTGCCACTGGGGCTTGCATTTGATTAAAGTTTTAGCCCCCTGCTAAGGTGTTTCTAAACATATTTAGGAGGTGACTTCCTCAGATTGGCTATATAACCTCTAGATAAAATGCTTTATTTTGATTGTAAGGCAGAGATAGAGAAAAATCATAGAACAAGAAAGACTTGTTCAGGTTGGAAAAAGACCTTTAAGATCATCATGTCGAACCATTAACCTAACCCTACCAAGTCTACTGCTAAGCCATGTCCCTAAGCACCATGTCTACTTTCCTTGTTTTTAAACATGTCCAAGGATAGTGATTCATGGACATACTATATATCGATAATTTTGAACCCTTTTAGAAAAAAAAACAAAGGAAAAACAACATGAGGCATATTTGAGTATGTTGTAGATTTGTGCTAAACACAAGCAGTTTTTATAATGCAGTGGGAGGAAAACATTTGGATTTGTTTATAATTGCTTTTTTGAACTCACATCTTCCAGACAGTGTGCTTTTGGTGTGGTGGTTTTTTTTTTGTTTTGCCTTTTTTTCCCCCCCTTTATAGTTAAGGTTATGTTTGCAGATGAAGAGAAGGAAATGCCTTTGCTTTTTCAGTGTTGATAAGAGTATGTGTTTAAAAAGCATGTGCATGTAACTTTACTAACATAAGCATAAAATGCTTTTTAGCTGAGTTATCTTTAATTGCTGGGCTATATGGATACATAACACATATAGAAAAATTAAATGGAATGATAAAACATAACAAAGAAAATAGAATTATTTGACTCGGGATGTGGGCTTATTGAAGTGGCAAAAATGTCAGCCTTTGTTTTAATCCTGTTATTCATGTTTATAGCACTGTGAATGAATAGAGCAGCAGAAACAATAGTAATAGTTGTCACTATTAAGCCTCTGGTTATTTAAATGTGATACTAAACTCCTGGTTTTATCAAGGCAGATTGTTGTGTTCTAGCAGACCAGTTCTCCTGCTGCTAAATTTTTGCTTGGCTGCGGGAGGGCGTTGGGAGAAGGAAAGGCAGTGATAGCTTCCTGGGTCTCAGCACAGCCTGGAGACTGATACACCAGTTACAAATCATCATATGCTTGTTATCCTTTTGCCCCTCTATCACACCTTCCTCCTCTGACATGGACCAAGGCGGAGGGTGTTTGGCACAAGGGGCAGATCTGTTGGCGTAGTGATAGCTGAGGAATCCTCTTAGCTTGGGGTGGGTGAGAGAGGCAATTCCTGGCGGTCTGCTTAAAGCCAGAATGCAATTCCTTTCTGCTCTTGAGAATTAGAAAAAAAATGATGGAATAAGCTCAGGAGGAGAGTAATGCATCCCTGGCAGTTGTGCCTGTGGAGTACAGTGTGTATTTGTGGCATATTTATCTCCATTTTGTCTCTATTTTCTTTCCTTGATGGCAGGTGAAACTGGTTAATATTAGAAATTACGACATAACAGATGGGAATCCAAAACTGACTTTGGGGTTGATATGGACCATAATTTTGCACTTTCAGGTAAGTCTGGTTTTGCTTGACAGTATCTTTTCAGTCGGATTCTTGTGTGCAGTTATGATGAATGTCAACTTACACAGGACTCCATGTAGGCTGTGCAAAAATACAGATATCTCTAAAGTGTATTTGAAGGTATTGGTGATGTATCTTTTGTGATGTAAACTGACTTTGAAGGTGTTGCTTGTTTGCTAATTCCTGTCTGTGGAGCAAGGGGAAAAATAACTGGGGTTTTGAACATCAGTAAAGACAATAGTTGATATATTCCTTCCAGTGTTTAGACAAACAGGCCTTGTTTTATTCTGAAGACTTTTTATGATGAGTCTCAAAACGTATTAAACCGTTTAAAATAATTTTCCTTCCAGATCTGAATTTCTCTGCTGTTAGAAGTATTTTAGCAAGCCCTCTTAACTCATGCCCATTCTGAGCAGTCCCCAACACTTCAGCGTTGTTTGTAGCCCCAGTGCTGGTAGGGCGGGTCACACTAGGTGGCACTCTGGTTGTTGTACACTGGTGGGATTGTGTGCAGTATAATGCAGCTTTACAGTGTGTGGTGTTAAATGGCTCCTCAGAATGAGCCTTTCACAATGGACGTGGCTGTAGGTGATGTAACCCAGATGACAGATAATTCTAATTTAGTGGCTGCAGTATTGTTAGTAGTAGACTTCATGCTGTGCAGGCATTTTAAATGATCAGAAAGTGACATGATCATGCAGAAAAACTGTGGTTCACTCAGAAATGTCCTGCACTGGATTTATGATTGGAAGAAAAATATTTTAAACAAACAAAATGAAAATAAAACATTAACCAACACCATAAATGCTGCTAGGATATAATTTACCTTTCTCTAAATCCTAAAGAGGAACAGAAGAAATGAATAGAGCCAACATGGCCTTGGTCTAAACAGGATCAGCCCAGGCCAGTGCACAGGGTAAAGGAGAAACCACTAACTGCTCACTGCTAGCAAGGACCTCAAGTTCCCTCAGCTCTCCCCTGTCATGGCAGTCTTTACTCACACATTATATGGAGGAAAAAGGCTGGGCTTAAATATATTTAAGCACGACCCACAGTATAGGGAGTGATTGATTGTTGCTGTGTTTTGAGAAACAAAGATTTTTAGTAATAGAAGCTGTTAGTGGAAATCAACCTTTACTTGATGTATCTTTTCTTTCTGAACCTAATGAGTAGGTTTTTGCAGGATGAAACTTTTAGTTTTTCTCACTAACTGAAGCACAGGACTTCTAACAGCTTTGGGTGCTTACAAAAAGGGATGAAAGTTAGTGCTACTAGTTATAGCTATAAGATATCATGAGAAGGGGAAATGTTTTATATGAAGTAACTAATTAGATGAGCTGGTGTGACAAGGATTTCCCCCTGTAAGGTAGCCAGCTTTGTATGAAATATGTAGAAGCACTTAAATTGTGCTTACTTTCTTCTGTCCTGACCCCGCTTAAATACCAACTGAATTTCTGCCAGGACAATTAAAATTCAGATCTTGCAGATGTGTCAGCATTCATTTTTTCTACATACTACCTTTTAAAATTCTGTGTTAAAATAAAGAATAAATAATTGTTCTTGGACTAAATATTAAGCCTTATTAGTAAATATTAAATAACTGAGGAGAACAGGGTTTCCAAAAGTGTTTTTTCTACCTTTGTGCTATTTATGTCTGTGGTACCTACACTGAACACAGAAGGGGTTTGTAAGGTGAGGTAGGAAACACCCGCTGTACTCATCTGTGTTAGCCTGGCATTTTCTTACACACCATTTCTTTTGAAGCCTATGGCACTTTGGTGTCATTGACAACTGTATACAGCCAATTTGGGTTCAGAACGTATAAGGAAGTTAAGAAGAGTGTGTATACTTATAACCTCACAATTTTTTTTTTTTCTTCACTTGGATTTTGAATGAGGGAAAAATCTGAACAGCAAAGTCTAGCAGCAGAGTCTTCAGGAAGGGATGAAGCTTCCTGACAATAAGTATGTTTATGCAGGAAGTAAACCTGTAAATATTGGGGAAGTTATGCTGAGATTCAATTTTAAGTTGACACCTAAATCCAGGTGCTTATGGAGAGCTGTGTTCTTATGCATTGTGTCTGAATTGTCCCTTTAGTCTGATAATGTGAGTGATAGAGGTTTAGTCTGTACAACTAGTATAGAGAGTGAGTCATCTAACCAGCTACTAAAGGCTCACTCCTTTTGACTGAACATAAACATCTGTGTTGTTGGAGATTTGAGACACCCTCGTGAGTATGAGAAACATGATGCAGATCTTAGTGGGAAACTCACTGTCATCTGGGAGGTGACGGGCCAGGCAGGATAAACTGCATCTTAAATGATGGTGAACATGTTTAGGAGCAGATCTGAGGCCTGGAGGACTAGTCAGTACAGTGGGTAAGGTTGGTGAAGCAGTTCAGATCACTTGTAGTAGGTGCCTAGAGCACCTACTAAGCTATTCAGTAGCCTAGCATGGGTGATCAGTGCCATCTGAGATGACACAGCAAGCATATCCAGTAGCATGTGCAGTGGAAAGCAAGTTGCTGTAGGTCCTGTGGCGTATCTACAATCCCCATGCAGGTATCGCAGGTAGTTTTAAGTGTCTCAGGTGTTCTAGATGATCGATTGACTTGCTGCTTATGTCGTAGAGACAGAAGGTTGTGAAGCATTGCTGTTCCAGATCTGTTGATTGTACTAACTAGATCTCCAGGGCTTTTGATTCAGTTTCCTAAAGCCAAGTGGCGTTTGAGTGACATCTGAGGTGTGCTAGAGTATCCAGGACAGGCATGTGGGTTATTTGATGAGATACCAGATCTGTGAGAGACCCATGCTCTTTTAGACCTGCAGCTGGAGGCCAGTTGGAGTACAGCAGGATATCTCAAAGAGCTCTTAGAAGCCCAGATTTAGGAAACTCTATCCTGCCTCCACTGGGTAAAATGCTCTCTTCTTAAAGACCTAGCCAGCTACATGACCACATAAACACCTGTGTTGAGTTCTCTTCCTCTGAACTACCTCTTAAATTTTCCCAGCATTTGCAGTTAATTTCTCAGTGGGTGGAGGGTGCTGTTTGCTACGTGATGCTACTGCCTCCGATCCACCATTTAAGTGTCTTCTAATAACACTGCAACCTGGGAGGTAGTCAAGATGTCAGGGATTGTTTTTTGGCTGCTGTTTGTGGCTTTTTGTTTTCCGGAGTCATGACTCTTTATCTAGAAGATAATATTTCCTCAAAATAGAAAATCCTTCTGAGTACTGGAGTGGATTTAGGGGAAATACATGATGAACAAAAATAAAGGATGATACGTATTTGAGGATTACGTTTCTTTTGCATCTGAATTACATCTAGAGATGGTTATGGCTTTGTGTGTTGGCACCCATAATTAGATAAATATATATATTTTTTCAAGTTATACCACTAGCTTTTGCAGCTGCACAGGTCCAGAAATTATACATTCCTCTGTGTCCCAAGTAATTACATATAAGATATAAAAAAGGTGGAATGGGAGATCTGGTGGTTTATGGAGATTAGTATGTTAGGAAATAATTTGTCCTGTGGATACTGAAAATTCCTGAGACATGTATGTTATTAGGATTTAGGCAAGCTTTCAGTTACGCATTTCACAGGCTTTAATAATATGTGGCTTTTAAAAAATTCAGTTTCATAATACAATAACTTCTCTAAGTTATTTTCCTGGCACCTGTAGAACATGCTAAATCAGATTACGGTATTTTGTATAATTATAGGCTGTATATATAAATATCCAAATTAATCCTTGAACTCCTTCAATACCAAATACATTTCCACTAAGGATACTGGAGATAAGCAGCTGTAAAGGAAAGCAGAATTTGACCTCTAAGTAACCAGAGTTTTTAGTAAGAATTTCTGTGAAAATTGATCCTTTCTTTTCAAGCCACTACAATTGTTCTTTAATTTAACAAATCTTAAATATTTAGAATAATTTGCAGTTTGTTAAAAAATAAAAACAAATAAAATAAATAAAAAACAAAACAAAACAAAAACAAAACCAAAAAAACCCAAACAAAACAAAACAAAACACAAGCAAACAAACAAACAAAAAAAACCAACATGCAAACCCTGAAACTTTAAACTTCCAGGCACCCAAAATGTGGCCTTTGTGAACTCAGATGCCAAAAAAAAGAAGTCTGGAGCTTCTAAGTCATGACTTAATAGACCTTTTCTGTTTCGGTTTCATCCCTGTTGTGCAGCCGAGGAACTGCTGTGAAACATTTTTCTTCCCACCCTCCCCAGCTTGGTTCTGTCAGGCTCTTTGCAGGGTGCTGCTTTTCAAGGCCACATTCGGTAATGTTTTTGTCCAGATCTTACAGGCCTGTGCAGCTTCCCTCTGGCCAGACAGGTACCTTCTCTGGGGCACGTGTAACCTCTTCACGTTTCTCTTGTCAGCAAATACTTTTTTTGCTGCTGACTCCCCATAAATCTTTGAGGAAAGGGTTCATTTTTTATCAGGCTGCCACAAAGCAGTCTACAGACTGCTCATTTGGTCCAGCACATCAGCAGTTAAACTTTTACCTGTCTTGGACAGAAAGATAGGAAGGTTGGTTTTGTTGTGGATGACTTGACTGAGAGCAAGGACAGCTACCCAGCTGTTTCTCAAGTTCCTGACAGCCCTTAACAAAGTTAGGTGCTCGGAGCCTATATGAAGGCTGTGGCCTTCATACAGGGTGGCCAGAGGAAGAGACAACTCAGCTGTGGTGACCTGTTCCAGTAAAGGGCATGCAGAAGGCAGAGGAATAATGGGTTTCTCTGAGACCTGTGCATCTTCCCCTCTGCTTCTGCTGCTCTGCTGTTAAATCCATTATACGGGTCACTATACAAAAGAAGTGTTGCCCACTTTCCTGAGGTGGCAACGGGGAGATCAGAAAGTTGTTGGGTCTGGCTTTCACTCGCTGTTCTCCTGGCACCTATGGCTGCTGGGAGCAGCTGGCTGACGCAGCTGGCTTTGGAGCTTGCCTCTGGGTATTGCCTGAGCT